GTTCCAGCTTGCAACCACCTTTCAACGGTCTTAGCCTTTCTTTAAAGCTTGATCACGAGCAGCCACGACACTATGGGTGAAGTTGGTGATAAACATCCACGCCGAAGAGAAGCCAATGCGGGCGAAGAAGGACACCGTGAACATGAATCGCCAACCCTCGCTGAGGGGGCGCCCCAGCGGGTAGGTGCCAAGCAGCCACACGCAGGCCCACAGGGAGAGCACAAAGGCGTTGTGCTTAATTCGACGAGGGACCCACTTTGTCCAGAACCTTAATTCATGAGAGCGATCATGAGAGCGAGTACCAAGACTGACCAAGCAACATTCGGCTGTGCAAAAGGTGATGGATCTAGTTATGAGCATGGTGGAACTACAGCCGAAACGAGTCCCGAAACGAGTCCACCGTGCTGCGTTTATGATCCTTTGCGGGAGGAATCCGTCCAGAGGACTGTTGCGCCGAGCTGCTCCTTGTTGCACTTGCCGCCCGCGCCCTCATCTGGGAAGTGCATCCACCACTCCAGGGCGAAGAGAGAGCCAGTGTCATTCAGGCCAAAGAAATGGATCACGGGAATGAACGGCACAGTTAGCAGGTACTTGTACCAATTGGAGCTCCATGGCCCTGCCCACTGCTGCAGGGCATAATGGAACTCCTCGGGGTCCCAACCAAACTCCCCCTGGATCAGCAGGTCGACAGTGGACGCATGATGCCTCAATAGCTGCAGGACCGAGTAAGCTTCGACAGAAAAAGTGAAAGCAAAAGGCTTACATGTGACCCACTGCCCTGTGCCCTGCCTGTTGTGCTCCAGGACGAACTCTTCCCATGGGAGGCCTGAGCGATACTCTGAAGGCCCCCAAGATGATTTTTGAATAGGCTCCCTGCAACAACACTGAGGAAATTCAAAACACACAGTGCAACCAAGGAGGCTGAAAAAGTCTGCAAACCTTGGTCGCTCTTTTGAGAGTCTAGCTCCATCAAGTAAAGCAAAAGCCACACGTACTATGAAGTTGTACAAAAGTGCTACCAAGAAACGGATGCGTAAGGAAGCGCTGCCATTCGTACACAGGGAACGTGGCGCCATGCATGACGTCATGGTCAATGTAAATCCTTGCCGGCCAGAGCATCAAACACTTGTCTAAGGCAAGAACTACATAACTACATGAACTGCGCATTTACAGCACTCAAACTTTCTGATCCTATGCTGCTGAGGCTCTGCTG